GTCGCCGTCGCCGTCGTTGTCGCCGTCGTCGCCGTCGTCGTCGTCGCCCGGACTCGGTTCTCATCAGCGCAACGCTCGGGCGTTTTCGCACCACGTACGAACTTAACCTTATTACACACCGTGGAAGCGATTAACTTAAGTCTCACCGCGTGCTCCCTTTCGCCGTTTTAAAGCTCGAGAATGCGCGCTTGACGGCAAGCGATGGCATCGTACCGCTTATAGCCACGAATCGATCGCGCGCACCTCTTCCTCGCGATATTTGAGTTGAAGCGGAGAAGCGGTCGTTACTACACGCTGGACAAACGAAATTACGTCACGGCACAGCACTAGTAACACAATTACGCGCCATTATCTACGTGCTTACATTCGACCCCGTTAAAATTCTTGTGTCTACAATTTGTTTCTAATTAGCAGGCTTTATGAACTTCGGTAGCGTATATATATAGGCATCATACACTGAAAAAAATATTAAACTTTAATAAGTATTTATTTAAATTCTTCTAAGTAAATATTTACTAAATGTATAAACGTATATCTTTGATACAGAAACTATTAATTTAACTATTATTTTTTTAAGTAAATGTTTATTTACTGTAAGTTTATGTTTACTTAGTACTGTTCAAAGAAACATGTATTAAAATTTAGTACATTTTTCTTCAGTGCATATATAAATTATGCCGTAATAATTTTTTCCTCGCAAAGAAATATTTTATGAGACTTTTCCCTTCGTTATTAAATTTATAGTAACATCTGGCGCGAAAATTACTTGATAATTTCTTCATTTTTAATTATATCTTAATTCAAAATTAATTTATTAATATACGTAATCAGTATTATATATGTACATATACACGCATACGATGCGCGCAATACGTGTAATGAAATTAAATTGAATCGAGTTATAAACAGGCTAGCATCCGATCGATGCTCCAATTTCGGCGCTTTCCGCCGCTCGCGATTGCGTCGCATTCGTCAAGACATGGAATTGAGACAAGACAGAAATGCCGAGAAGCAAAGTTTGGTCGTAGCATCTAATGCAATCCGAGTAACTGGGTCTAGGCCCTCAAGGCCCAACGATTAAGCGAATCTCGAAACAGCGTCTGTTGCAATTGCCGTCTTTGCACACCGTTTTCCACGGCGCGTTCCTACGATGGTAAACGGGGGAGATTGCTTAATGCGGAAAGTTTCCAGAGTGCTTGCGAGTGTTTACGAAAGGAAGTGGGGTTTCTTTTACCTATCTACGTTGCGTCTTTTATCAAGTTTACAAAAGAAAAGGAAAAAAAATTTCGTGCCGACGAAAATCGCACGAAAAATGCGCGTAAAATGCGCTCGCGGAGAAATAAGAACAGCAAGGTCTAAAACACATCTATGAAAAATAATTAAGCTGAATCGTGAACAAGAAAGAAAGCGGATGGAGGGGAGCAGTAGGAAGTATCGATAAAATTGTGGATTCGATAATTCACGAAGTATATCGTTAATGCTCGTTTTTACTAATGTTTAATTTTAATTTCGGTTCAACTAACTTTTCTTTTTTCTCTAATTATAAGAACTCGAAAAAGATGAAGAATAAATTGAATTGACATTAAAGTTAATTTACATTGGTAGAAATGGACATAACTGATAATATTTGTTATAATCACAGCTGGACGCTGTTATTTCGTCGCTGTAAAATGTAAGGAGCACAAAGTAACGGTTATTGTCTGTGATTTTTCCTTCTGCGCCGTTTTGTCGCTAGCTATGACGTTTTCGACATTTCACTTTCGCGTTGTTCGCCTCGGCGTTAACAAATTATTCCTACTCATCATCGAAAGCGGCGTTGTTTAATGCTCTTCGATTAATCATTGCGATTTTGAATAACGCACAAGCGCACTTTCTCGAATAATTTACAATGAAATCGTGGCTCGATTCGTTCACCGATTTGTCCGCCTTATATACGA